CCATATCATAAATATTCGCCGTTCTAGATTTTATTATTATTGTGAGCACGCTCCATTTGCTGCATTATTTCTGCGTCTCCTCCCTAATCTCCGGCGCTGTAATGACCCAGTTTTTATCCCGGGGATCATTAAAGTTTGATGGGCTCTTCTCTGAAATAGCAGTGTGATACTCGCAGTACAAATCATCCACAACGAGAGGCTCAAACGTGCTGAAAACTCCACCAACATCGCTTACACACGCTGCGTTTCACCAATCAAACGCCACTGATTACTCAGATTACACACGGCCACATCCACTTAGACCTGGAAACACACGGAGGAAATGTCCCTCACATTAAATATTAGCTGTAAAGACAGGTTCTTTTAATCATGTTTATACTTTTTTACAAAGGAAATCAAGCCTTTTACGCTTTTAAGCGTTGAAATAAACCGTTTAACATCAATGCTCATGGTCCAGTCATGTGTCAGCTCCTCTTGGCGTTTAAATGTAGAAGTTTTTTTATTTAAAGCGCCTCACAGTATCAGGAGTTAATGTATCATTTATTTAACTGACTCAGTGGGAAGCATGCTGCATGATTATCGCCAAAACTGTTATTTTGATCCACTATAAGATCATTATTATTCATTGATTTAAGGGAACAAATATTAGTATAGCACTTAATTTGCAGAACATGTTTGATTCTTAGTTAACCAAAGACACATTCAATACAACTAACGATTCTTCAAGATTTCAAGTTAACATGGTGAGTAATAGATATTTAAGTGGTCATTTTAAGGTTTACGTATTCCTTTAAAATAACTTAAAGAAAGGTGGTTTTAGTGGAGATGCAGTGCCCCGTGATTTAACAGAATTTAAAGCCCTTGGACACAGATTTTAAAATACTAAACACACTCATTTAGAAAAGGTTTAAAAACAGTGGACTGAATCTCAGCAACTTCATTTTAAACATATTGAGTAAAACGTCTGGTTCCTGTTACCTGGCAGATGCAGTGCCCCATGATGTAAAGGTCCCATGTCATGGCCATTTCTACTGATCATAATTCGATTGTTGAGGTCTACTAGAATAAATGTATATTATTCAATGTTCCAAACTCACATTGGTTTCTCATACAGCATCTCTGTAAAGTATGTGTATTCACTCTCTATCCTAAACGGCTTGTTGGAGCTCCTGCCCCCCCCCCTCCCTGTGAGCCCAGTGGCCGTCTGTGAGACAGCGAGACACAGCGAAACCCAGCCCGAAACACACACACACGCAGCCTGGCTGGGAGTTTGTGTGTGTGCCCAGGCTGAGTTCCGCTGTGTCTCGCTGTCTCTCCGACCCCACGCCAGTGAGCCAGCTCACAGTGTCCCGCTCCTCGCAGCAGCGAGCCTCGCAAAGTCCCGCCGATTGTGTGTGTGTGTGAGGAAGCCCGCGGATTGGTCCAAACGTAACGGCTCCGCGGACGTAACATTACGTCACTATACCCAAATACGTCACTATACCCAAGAAGTAAACAATGGAAAAAGAGAATTCTCCAACGAGGCGTTCTGGGGCAGCACAGACAGGTCTTCTCTGTGTTAGAGTTTTACTCCCTACAGGGTGCACTTTGAGGGTTTGTGACTCTGCAGACCGTTTTGAAAAAGATTCATAACACAAGGGGACGGGTAATAACCGGAAAAGCATGACATGGGACCTTTAACATAATGTAAAGCCCTTGAACACAGATTTTAAAATACTTAATAGGAATTTAAACGCTTTAAAAACAGAGGACTAAACCAAATAGTAGGCTTACTAGCTCCTACAGGCTAAAGCCTCTGTAGACTAGAGGGCGTGATTGTAAACATCTCTCACCAGGGAAATACTGCAACAGTTAAATGCCATTTTACGTTTCATTACTATACGATACAGTATTTATTATCATTATAGTAACTATAGTTACTATTTTCGGCGATTAGATAAAATATAAATTATATTTGTGCAAATTTAGTTATATTTCCATGACTTTTCCAAAACTTTTGGAAAAATATTGTTTTCCAAAACTTTTCCAGGGCCTGGAATTTGCATTTTGAATTTCCATGACTTTTCCAGGTTTTGAATGACTGCATGAACCCTGAAAACCCCTGTGTGTTACCTGGCAGTGAGCTGAGTGCTCTCTCGGCCGTCTCCCTCAGAGTCTCTCCTCGCTGCCACTCAGTCTGAGGCAGCATCCACAGCTTCTCCCTCCCCACCGGCCGCTCCACCAGCAGCAGCAGAGAGTCGGAGAGGCGGCGCTGCAGAGAGCCGGGGTCTCCCTCTGAGTCTGAGGAAACACAGACGACTGGGTTAGAGGTTGTGTTAATGACTTTTACCCAATAAATCGATATACCATACGATACGCTCCATTTGCAACTTCGAACAAGGGGAAATATTAAGACAAGAAACAAGGAAACACATTTCTGACAGTCATTTATCAAATATATCATTGTATAAATCTCTTGTGAAAGCATCAATAGTCAACTTAATAATATTGTCCATATCGATAGCGTAGTATTTGGCGGGTACTTTATCAAAATATTATGATATTTCATGTTCTACATATCTAGTTTGATTTTCTACAACTGCTCCTTACCCCTAGGGGGAAATAAAGGTTTCATGTATTCATCACTTTATCAAGTCGAGGTGAAGTCACGAGATGAACATTACAAAATAAATAATTCAGTCTGTGGCTAAAGTATGGTTTTATTGTTTATTATTGTCTCGTGCTTTTACATTAGTTTATTTTTGTCCTATCGGTTTTGTCTACATGTATTTATGCTGCTTTTGTGTATTGATGTTCAGCACTTTGGTCAACTCTGTTTTTAAATGTGCTGTATCAATAAAGTTGGATTGGATTGGATTAAGTCTTTTTGGAGTTCATCCAGGCTAAACCCATTAAGTCATGTGACTCTGAGCCCCCCCCCCCCTCGTACTGACCGGAGACCCTGGCCGCCGGCTGGAAGTTCTTGAGTTTCTGCTCCCAGGAGTCCTCCAGGTCCTGGGCCAACACGATCTCCTGGTCCCTCCGGTTCTCCTCTTCGTCAGAGTCGTACTCGCCCGCCTGCATCCTCCTCATCTTCTCAGCGTCGTCCAGCAGCCGCAGCTCGTGGTCCGACATCATGCTCTTCTCGAACTCCATCTGCAGATAAAGAGCACATCTCAACCTCCAGGAGACTCACTGACCTCCATCTACTCTGTCATGGTCTATCAAATACTACAATAAAATACTTTATCTGGAAACGTGTCGACAGGCATTTAGATGGTCAACATGTGAGAATGATCTCACTGTTTACACATCTGTAATGCCTGCCTACTAGGTTTGTTATGTAATGTACTAGTATAGTATGCCATACAAAATGTGTGGATATGATACCGTAAGAAAATTGTAGAATTGTATCCCATTAAAAAATGTAAGCAAATTCATAAAACATTTGTATTATAAGTATGTCATAAACATATTTTGGTATAGTATGCAATAAAAGGTTGAAAAAAGTGTCATATAAAATAAATTGTAGGAGAAGTACTCAGATCTTGTACTTGAGTAAAAGTAGAAGTACTCAGGTCTTGTTCTTGAGTAAAAGTAGAAGTACTCAGATCTTCTACTTGAGTAAAAGTAGAAGTACTCAGGTCTTGTACTTGAGTAAAAGTAGAAGTACTCAGGTCTTGTACTTGAGTAAAAGTAGAAGTACTCAGATCTTGTACTTGAGTAAAAGTAGAAGTACTCAGATCTTGTTCTTGAGTAAAAGTAGAAGTACTCAGATCTTGTACTTGAGTAAAAGTAGAAGTACTCAGATCTTGTACTTGAGTAAAAGTAGAAGTACTCAGATCTTGTACTTGAGTAAAAGTAGAAGTACTCAGATCTTGTACTTGAGTAAAAGTAGAAGTACTCAGATCTTGTACTTGAGTAAAAGTAGAAGTACCAGAGTGTAGGAATACTCTGTTACAGTAAAAGTCCTGCATTCAAAATGTTCCTCAAGTGAAAGTAGAAAAGTATTATCATCAAAATATAGTGAAAGTAGCGACAGTAAAAGTAGTCGTTGTGCAGATTGGTCCATTTCAGAATAATATATGATATGTTTTATAATGATTGATCATGAAAGTGTTCTGGTAAAGGTGCAGCTAGTTTGAGTGACTTTGTATACTGCAGGGTAGCTGGTGGATTTACTCCAGGTGGAACTAAAGTCTGATTTAACACTTGATTATATTATAAAAGCCTCACCTGGCTCATCATGTCTCTGAACTGCTGCTCTATCGGGTTGCTCTCCGCAGAGATGACCGGAAGTCTCTGCAGACACACGGCCGCCATCAGAGTCCACGGAGAAGAAGCTATTTCCTCCACATGTTGAGCCTGCCTGGACCCCCGACACACAGACGTGCTGGAGAACTGACGGAACCCCGAGTTACTGACCGATGTCCGGCTGAAAGAAGACAGAAACTGTAGGAGAGACCGACCTGCTATCCTTCTGCAGGGCGCTGCCATCTTGTTTTGCTATGTTCAATGTATGTGCAAAAGATCCTGACGCTGTCAAAAGATTTGCCGAGGGATTTTTAATCACGGTAAGGTCTTGGTTTGAAAACAAATCAAGATATAAATATTAACACCTGTTCTTGATTGTAAGTGTTTTTTTAATTTATCTAAAATATAACCTTATTTATATCTATTTTTGGCGCTTTAAGCGAGTGTTCACCATGATGAGCCACCATGAAGTTCGTATTTACGACGTTATACCAAGTACTTGAAGCAAGCATGTTTCTACTTTTACCCACAATCCTGTTCAGGAATCAGAACGGTCTATTAAGATAAAAGTAGGGGAGGACGATTTTAATATACTTCTTTTAAAAACTAAATATATAATTGTATGTACAAATAATAAAAATTGAGAATTATTTTAAGAGACTTTGAGTATTAAAATATGTTTTCAAGTGACAGCTGTAAATATCATAGTAAAAATAATCTTTCTCGTGATCCTGCCACCCCTGAAAAATAAAGATATTACTGGTCTGGTCTGGATTTACAGTACCTTCAATGTCACATTTGTTGTGTGTAAAGTAGCTACCTGTCTTGCAGCTAACTTGTCGCAAACATGTATAAATTAAACTGTATATTAGTTAGTTCTGTGAGTACCGTATGCCGACAGCTTGTCGCCTCCGTAAATGGAAGTGGAAGCTCACTGTAAGTATGTCGTGGTTTACTAGCATCACTTTTAGCTAGTGGCTAACGTTAGCTCAGATAAAGCCTGCTGCATGCTGGGTGTTATGAAGCTACATGTTATATTTGTTATTGTTAGATTTAGTTTCCTTAACACGTTTCATTCCAGATAAGTGGACAGAAAAACACATTGAGTTGTTTATTTGACCCAATGTGACTTTTTGACTCTTTAGATTTCTCCTAAATTAACCAAAAGTTAGCATTAGTAATTCCTCATTTGCATATGAAACATACAATTTCAGAAACAATGCAAACAAACAATATGTTCTTAATCAAGATAATCACCTGGTAAGGTTTCATGGTTGATATGTATACAAATAATTGTATTCACTGTAGTGTCTAAGCATGTCATTACAGAGGATGTTGTTTACATTTTTAACTTCATTAATTTCAAATGGTATTCCCTAAAAGTGTTTTCAGATGTATGGAGTGATGCAGAGAGACCTTTCTAAACCCCTTCTGTAAATACATTGGACTGTATAACAATTTTAAACCTGGCTTTATCCATAAAATGTAGGTAAATGAGCACATATCTAAAAGGATATTTGTATATATACAAATACAATGTCAGTAAGCTTGTAACACAAATATATACAGTTGAATGTCCCTAATCAACTGGAGAAGTTGTATGGTGATATCTTTATATTAAAATGTGTACCCTATTCACCTGTAGCGTGTTGTCCAGATGACCACAGCCACACTGCTCTATAATAAGAGTCTAAATGTTGTGTTTCTATAGATGTGGAGGCACTGCCTTGCAGCGGACCGTTTGTTCCAGTGCTGTCAGACTTCAGGAGGCAGCTTCCAGCCCAGAGGCCAGGAACGCCTCCTCCAAAGACTTCAGGTCACAAAACACACCTGCACGTCTACTATCACACAATCAGCAGTATCTCTAGTGCTTTCCCAAATAACTCGTGTTGTTAAATCTGCATTGTCTGAGGAAATTGTAGCCATAAATAGTCAACCATTTGTCTTGGTATCTACTTTTATATACGCTTGATTGATAACACTCTTTTAGTTTAAAGGATGAAGTAGCAAGTCACTCACATGAACATACTTCTCTTTAATCATCTAGCAATCTTCTGAGCATTCATTATTTTTAACAATTGTGTGTTCTACTCTGAAGTGAAATGGCCTGCTTCGTGTCTTAATTACAAGGTATTCTTGGTAGAAATCTCTTCCTGCTTAATATCTTTCTGGGAATTTGCTAACATTTGATCAAATGGCAAGCCTCCATCAGCAGGACGTGTTCATCTTTGAAACGCTGTGTTGCTGCTATTCTTTGCAATGATCATTTTTAAAGGGATATGTAATCTCATTGTGACTGACCTTGTCAACCCTTAGAGGCATAAGTGGGTCTTTTTGGTGGTTTTCTTGAAGTATCTTTGTAATTACATTTTTGTATCATTTCATATTCCAGCTATTCCTCAAAAAACATGTTTTGGATATCATGCCATTCACATTTTAAATTTAAATGTTATACATTTGAAGAAATTGTAGTGTTTGTATTTCTACCCCAAGCTTCCATAAGTGGGTAAAAAATGACCCGCATGCATTTCCTACGGGAACCTTTGATTCTTATCACCTGTTGCTGTCAGGAATACATTCACTGTGGAACACACAGACTAAATCACAAGTGACACCTCTCAGGAAGATTATTGTACACAGCAAGATCTGAAACCTGTCAGTTTAATAATAATACATTATATTTGTGTAGGGCTTTTCAAGGACTCAACATCGCTCTACAATATAAGGGAAGGTTAGGGTGGGGGGTAGAGGACTATCAAACTTGATCAACCGACATGGATTGATGGGGGGGGGGGGCTATGAGTAGACAGAGGAGAAGAGATGAGTCTTGAAAAGGAACTGGAATATTGTGAGGGTCTCAGAATAGCGGACATCTTTGGGACAAAATGCATTTTTTTCAAAATGTAAAAAAAAATGTCTAAAATTATAAATAGTGAAAAATGAAATATAAAATATTCCTAGTGTGAACCAAAATATAATACTAAATATTATACAAGTGATTTTTCTTAACCAAAATGGCAAAAATGGCCTTTTAGACCCCCTTATGGAAGAGTGTAGGGTCCAGTCACTCGTGCATCTAAGGGTTAAAGAAAGGCAGAATATAAAGAAAACAATGGGTCTACTTACTGTAGTGTCAAATGTAACAGCGATATTAACCCTACGTTTACATACATGCACATGTCCGTCTACTATTACACAAGGAACCTGCAGTATCTCTGGTGTGTTCCCAAATAACAAAAACAATGTTTAAATGTATAATAATGTAACAGCGATATTAACCCTACTTTGAATCTTCCAGCATCTTCCCCCCGATGCCGGGCTATGACTCGTCCCTGAGATGGGGGGGCAGGAAGTTCGAAGAGTTACCCATCGTTCACGTAAAAGCGACGTACAACAAGTGAGTGGAAAAGACCACGAAACAGGGATTCTCTGAGATCGTTTTGACATCATTTTGTATTGATCATTTAAGTTATCAGGTTAACCCTCATTTTGTTCAGCCATGCAACACATCAGCTGTTACGTGTGCAGTCAGGTTGATTGTATACACATACAACAAATGTGCCTTGGTGTATTTGGGGCATACATAAACAGTCAAAGACATACATCGTAAGAAAAGGGAAAAAAAACTAATATAATGCAACTATTTTAAGAAAACTTGTTAACATTGAAATATAGATCAAGGTAACAGTGTAGTCATGACGATGAACATCTTAGGTCACAGATATACCCGTGTTGGGAAAATCCAGAATGTCCTCTTCCAACATCAGAGTGCACATGCTAACAAAGGTATCCCAACTGTAGCTGTGAACATGGCAGGGGGTGTGATTACCCAGAAGGCATTGCAGATGTAAGCTTTGATGTGATGCTTTGGGGGATATAGAGCTGGTGAGGAGGTAAACAGTGTGTGACCCGTGTGTTTGTCCCAGCACACACATCCATGTGACGGAGAGCGTGGGTCAGTCTCTGGTCCGGACGTCCTGCGGCACCGAAGGCTTTAAGAACATCAAGAAGTCCACGCCGGTCGCTGCTCAGACCGCGGGAATCTCTGCTGCTGTCGTACGTCTGCACACACACACACACACACACACACACGGCTTTCCCAGACACACACACACACACACACACGGCTCTCACAGACACACACACACACACACACACACACACACACGGCTCTCACAGACACACACACACACACACACACGGCTCTCACAGACACACACACACACACGGCTCTCACAGACACACACACACACACGTCACTCTGTAATGACTAAGTCTAAGACATTACTCACTGCTCAAAAACATGAAACATCATATCCCTCATATGAAATACTCTCTTTTGCTGCCGTACATCTGCACACACACACACACACACTCACACTTTACTCACACACACACACACACTCACACTTTACTCACACACACACACACACTCACACTTTACTCACACACACACACACACACTCACACACACACACACACTTTACTCACACACACACACACGCACACACACTTTACTCACACACACTCACACACACACACTTTACTCACACACACACACACGCACACACACTTTACTCACACACACACACACACACACACACACACACTTTACTCACACACACACTTTACTCACACACACACACACACGCACACACACACACTCACACACTCACACTTTACTCACACACACACACACACACTCACACACACACTTTACTCACACACACACTTACTCACACACACACTCACACACACACACTTTACTCACACACACTCACACACACCCACACTTTACTCACACACACCACACAACACGCATACACACTTTACTCACACACACTCACACACACACACACTTTACTCACACACACACACACGCACACACACTTTACTCACACACACACACACCACACACTCACACACACGCACACACTTTACTCACACACACTCACACACACACACACTTTACTCACACACACACACACACACACACACTTTACTCACACACACTCACTTACTCACACACACTCACACACACACACACTTTACTCACACACACTCACACACACACACACTTTACTCACACACACTCACACACACACACACTTTACTCACACACACTCACACACACACACTTTACTCACACACACGGCACTGTCATTAAAGTCTAAGACATGACTTACTGCAGGAGATCAGGCTCAAGAACATGTGACACCTTCATATCTCTCACATCAATATTAAACTCACCGCATTACACTGCAGAGGTTTTGCTCCATCAGGTCCAAGCAGAACTTTTATTTGTTTATGTTGTATTGATCAAATAAAAGTTAACACTGTCATGTCAGAAAAAAGTCACATTGATATATGTTAGAAAAGATGAAGATGGTGATGTTTCTAGTGGAGGAAGATGTCTGTTCATGTAGAACATAATCTCCTCCTCCTCCTCCTCTTCCTCTCAGAAAGCCTCAGAGAAGGGCGTGACGTTTGTCCGTGTCGTTATCAAAGGCATCGGACCAGGACGATGGGTAAGTCCACAAAACTAAATCTGTCAGTGTGTATGTTGAAAGAAAGAAGCCCCTGAAATGCCTTGCAGATTGTGCATCTCATTATTTAACGTTCCAGCTCTCGACTGCTATTGTTTTGAAAGTGAGGAGCCACAGACATATTGATCGGATCCCTTAGCTTCTTGATAAACTAATGTATGTCTCTGTTGTGCAGTCTGCCATCCAGGGCATCACCATGGGGGGTCTGCAGGTGGTCTCCATCACAGACGAGACCCCCGTGCCGCACAATGGCTGCCGTCCCCGCAAAGCCAGAAGAACATGATCCCCTGAACGCACCATGTGTAGTAATCTGATAAATAAAGAGTTTTTGTTTTGTTGTGTAACTCTGAGCGGAACTCACATGATTTGTTCACACACACACACACACACACACACACACACCCACCATTAGTTGGTGTTTACAGTGGGTTTAATCCGTATCCTTACATTTGAGCATACCCTCCTTAAGCACACTTTGCTACTACATCCTGAAAATATGTAATTTGATAAAATAATATTGTTGTTTCCTAATTTCAAAGCTCTTCTCTCACTCGGCAGTATTTTTGGTGCCGTTTGACAACTTGTACTCTGAGAAATCCAACTCAAGTGTCTCTTAGCCAGTTTCATGCATTAGGAGTTTAGGAAAACATTGAAATGTTATAATTAATGAGGCTGTTCTATACTTAGAAAATGTTAAGTCGAGGAACAAATAAAATCTCGAAACAAAGCTCCACTTCAAATCTTGTGTTCACCAGTGAGGTCATTTGGTATTAAACAAATTGACTAAAGAAATCTTAATTGACTAATTGCGAAGTGGCAGTCTCATCTTCAGGTACAGAATATTCGGGAAAGCATTTGAAAACGTGCACATTTAGAGGGAGAACTGCAGAAGATCAAATGGAGAACTCAAACGGCTGATATGACTTAAAGCTGTGTGACTTCAAAGTACTGAAAATAAGAGATTTGAAACACACTCGCTTTACAAAAATACTTTATTTCAACTCTCAATGAAGTCCTTTACACATCAGGCAGAACTCAACGTTAGATAGTTAGACTGAACACATCAGGGAAATAAAACCGGGGCAAAGGTGCTTCAAAACGACCAACGCATAAATAACACGGCGGATTATATCACTGTAAATACATTTCCCACAAGCATGACTCAGCAAAATGACTCCAGGACAGACGGAGGGGACAAAAGAGATAAATATATATATAGTTTTGGTTTTAGGATTAAACGGAGAACCTGGGAAACAAGGAGTTACTTATATGAATGTCGTGGAAGTGGACAGTATTAAGTCTAGAGCTCAAAGGATGAGTACATGTTTGATATATTGTAATTTCCCATGCAAACAATTCAATTTGTCCATCCATCCATCCATCCATCCATCCATCCATCTTCTCCCGCTTATCCGTGGTCGGGTCGCGGGGGCAGCAGTTCCAGCAGAGAGCCCCAAACTTTCTTTTCCCTGGCCACATCAACCAGCTCTGACTGGGGGATCCCAAGGCGCTCCCAGGCCAGCGAAGAGATATAATCCCTCCACCTGGTCCTAGGTCTACCCCTTGGTCTCTTCCCAGCTGGACGTGCCTGGAACACCTCCCTAGGGAGGCGCCCAGGTGGCATCCTAACTAGGTGCCCGAACCACCTCAACTGGCTCCTTTCGACGCGAAGGAGGAGCGGCTCAACTCCGAGTCCCTCCCTGATGACCGAACTTCTCACCTTATCCCTAAGGGAGACACCAGCCACCCTGCGGAGAAAACCCATCTCGGCCGCTTGTATCCGCGATCTCGTTCTTTCAATTCAATTTGTCTTTAAATATTATTTAATTTAATATCTTTGGCTGATTTGACTGATTTAGCATTATAACGTTGGATTTTGAAGAATATTTTAACCTATTTTCTGACATTTTAAAGCCCAAATAATAATGAAATAATCTAGAAGATATTGATAGTTGCAGCCCTAGTAACGGATATAAAGTAGCCCACATCACTCACATGTTTACATTCACAATAACAGAGTGCATTTGCACATCAGCATCGATCTTAATCTACATTGAAATGACTCTCCAGACTCTGAAAGACTACAGGAGGAGATTGTCAACCCTTCGTTTAGTTAACCTTGAACTGATGCGTTAAAGTGAACTCTGTTGATGCCTTCACACAAAGGCACTGGTTGAGTGTAAAGCAAAAGGAAACTGCAGAATATACAGCTGCATCTGATACAGCACCAGCTTTCAGATTCAATTCAATTATACTTTATTATCCGGATCAGGGGAAGTGTTTTGTTGCAGCAGCATGTAAACAAGGCGTCGCACACGAGTTCAACATATCTAAAGTATATAATATATAAAATATACAGAATAAGTTAGAAGACAAATACAAAATTATTCGGTATATTTCTATGTTGAATTTGACATCGATATTTATCTATTTAATACACGTTGTAAAATATACAGAATTAAAATTAAGATACATCATTATGTTTATATCGTATAATCTATAGATAATATTAGAGTTCAAATAACAATAAAAAGGTATATTTTACTTGTGCTTTACTTTGATACTCTGTAGATATGTATATTACTGTTGATATGTATATATTTACCGTTTATTATCATCTTTATTTAAATATACTTGAATTTATTTATGTATGGAATACACATTAAACAAATAATAAACAAAACAACTAGGGCCGGGACTTTAACGCGTTAATTAAGATTAATTAATTACACAAAAATTAACGCATTTTAATCGCACTTATTTTTGCACCGCGGAACGTTTCTCACTGGATGAGTTTCAGGCGTACCGATTATACTGGAGCACCAACTAACGTTCATGACTTCAGACAACAACAAACCACAGTGAACAACAGTGGGAAATGTTGTTTTAAAAAACGGACGGATGGAAGCGTCGATAAGAGCACGGTTGTGTGCAAATTATGCAAAAAGGAATTCGCATATCACCGCAGCACATCAAGCCTCAAGTATCACCTCAATGCAAAACATATAGCAGCTAGCGTGGACGTTAGCCTCTTTTATCGCGTTCACACCAAAAAGAGCCGGTACTAAAATGTGTTCATGAGAACCTTTTTACCCCCACGAAAGTCCCTGCTAGAGAGCAGAGAGCTGCTAGAGAGCAGGGACTTTCGTGCGGCTCTCTTGTGAGAAAAGAGCTATATTTCTGATTGGCTGGGCGGATTGCAAACCACGCCCCGTAAAACTCCCAAAAAGTTTTGTGAAGCCGCCATTTTATTATCCTCGCATTAGCATTATTAGCATTAGCATTAGCCCAGCGCAGAAACGCAGAGAGACTAACTTATGGCAACACAAAATAAAACATGGGAGCGGTGGAGATGAGGAGGTGTCGGCGTTCTGGCGATTTACTCGGAAGGCTGCTGGGACTCCCAGCAGCTTCTACTGAAGCCAGTCCCCAACTCCGGGGACTTCCGGCCGGGGACTTTGGGCGGCAGTATACGACGTGAAGTGGTTTGCTGCCTGCCAGTAAACCCAATGCAGAAGAAGAAGAAGTGACGTCAGCGGCTGCATTTGCCTAATCCTCCCCCAGGTTCAAAGAGTTCTCATGAACTAAATTCTCATGAACCTTTGTGGGAAAAGTACTGCGGTGTGAATGCGCCTAATGGTATACTAAAATCCATGCGAAAAAAATTGCTTCTCACTGTTCTTAGGTCAAATATTTATATGTGATTAAAAATGCGATTAATTTCGATTAATTAATTACAAAGCCTCTAATTAATTAGATTAATTTTTTTAATCGAGTCCCGGCCCTAAAAACAACATTTATCTTTGTATTTTATATTGTGAATACCACAAATACATATATATCTTTCTGCTGTTGATGTTATATTGAATTATATTTTTAAATCACGTGCTTGTTAAGATGCCGCTGAAACAAAACAATCCCCAGTTTCGGATCAATAAAGTTAAATCTGATTTAATCTAATAATAAATTGGTGCCAGTAAATATTGCTCGTATAAAGCGGCGGGCGCAGCGAGAAGGAGACGAGGAGTGATTTTGCACACGGCCCGCTGCTAGGAGAGGAGGCGATATGTAGCAGGAGTGGAGGAGGTGTCAAGCGTTTTCCAACCCAGCTGACATTTAACCACGAATACGAGTCTGCAAACGTGTCATTGAAGAGTTATAAGAGTATAATTACGTCTACCATGCAGTAAAGATTCAGCTTTTAGCGCATTTTAGACCCTAATGGCTTCACATAAGGGCTATACAAGTGTTTCATACGTCTCTTTCCCAGTGTAAGTCAATGGGGAAAGTCATTTAGGGCTTCATGGACAGACACATAAGGTGTAGTACCGCCGTTTGGCCACTAGGAGCGGTTGCCTCAATGTCAGACGCACTTCCTTTCTTATGAGACCAAAATACAACATTAACACCCATTAACTGAAGACACAAATTGTAAAAGTTAGAGAACTTTAAGTGGGCAACATGACGGTACTGACCTGTCAATCACAAAGTAGCACAGCCCTAAAGCATATGCACATGATTCTGTGCTGAAGAAGACTTGCATTTTAGACTTTAAACACATCAGGGAAATTGAGATAATAAATCAAGTGTGAAGTCGGGTTATTTTCCTAATCGACTTCTATCCAACCTAAAACCTGTTTTTTCTGTCTGACAATAGAGAGAATGCTTGGGGGGCTTTGGTTAAATCTAAACTGGGTTGTCAAAAACATCAAAGGAGTGTTGGATTTCGGGCGTTTCTCCGCCTCCTCACTTCCCCTGCAGGTTGCTGAGCTCCATGTCCTCCTTGCGGCGTTTCTGCTGGGTGAAGAGCGAGCTGAAGGGGTAGAGTTTGGCTTTGGCGGGGTATCGCTGCCCGGCGATGTCCACCTCGTAGTCTCCTCGGTTGATGAAGTCGGGCGTGATGGGGGTGGGCAGCCCCTCTGGGCTCGGGGGGGGGGAGACGAAGCCCAGGCAGATGTGGCGCTCCAGGGTGTAGCTGTAGGCGCTGCTGGTGGTGGTGCCAGCCAGCTGGTCGTTACGGTACACCGGCTCCCCCCACCAGGGCCACAGGTCCAGCTCCGTGTCGTGGTCCTCCAGAATCAGCATCACGAAGCGCCTGAACACACCGTCGTGACGCTGCTGCAGCAACGCCGCCCGACCCAGGAAGTCCGTGTCCTGTAGAGAGGAAGAGGAGGAGAATAAGAGGAAGATATCTGAATCAGTATATGTTGTTTATCCAGGGAGAATTGGGTTTAGTGGGAAGTAGTGGAGTACAAATACTTCATTACTGTACTTAAGTACATTGTTCTGGTATCAGTACTCCACTACTTATTTTTCTGACGACTTTTTACTTTTACTTCTTACACAAATACCTGCACTTTCTACTTCTTACATGTTGAACACAAATACCTGTACTTTCTACTTCTCACATGTTGAACACAAATACCTGTACTTTCTACTTCTTACATGTTGAACTCAAATACCTGTACTTTCTACTTCTTACATGTTGAACACAAATACCTGTACTTTCTACTTCTTACATGTTGAACACAAATACCTGTACTTTCTACTTCTTACATGTTGAACTCAAATACCTGTACTTTCTACTTCTTACATGTTGAACTCAAATACCTGTACTTTCTACTTCTTACATGTTGAACTCAAATACCTGTACTTTCTACTTCTTACATGTTGAACTCAAATACCTGAACTTTCTACTTCTCACATGTTGAACTCAAATACTTGTACTTTCTACTTCTCACATGTTGAACCCAAATACCTGTACTTTCTACTTCTTACATGTTGAACTCAAATACCTGTACTTTCTACTTCTTACATGTTGAACTCAAATACCTGTACTTTCTACTTCTTACATGTTGAACTCAAATACCTGTACTTTCTACTTCTTACATGTTGAACTCAAATACCTGTACTTTCTACTTCTTACATGTTGAACTCAAATATCTGTACTTTCTACTTCTTACATGTTGAACCCAAATACCTGTACTTTCTACTTCTCTCATGTTGAACTCAAATACATGTACTTTATACTTCTTACATGTTGAACTCAAATACCTGTACTTTCTACTTCTCTCATGTTGAACTCAAATACTTGTACTTTCTACTTCTTACATGTTGAACTCAAATACCTGTACTTTCTACTTCTTACATGTTGAACTCAAATACCTGTACTTTCTACTTCTTACATGTTGAACTCAAATATCTGTACTTTCTACTTCTTACATGTTGAACACAAATACCTGTACTTTCTACTTCTTACATGTTGAACACAAATACCTGTACTTTCTACTTCTTACATGTTGAACTCAAATACTTGTACTTTCTACTTCTTACATGTTAAACTCAAATACCTGTACTTTCTACTTCTTACATGTTGAACACAAATACCTGTACTTTCTACTTCTTACATGTTGAACACAAATACCTGTACTTTCTACTTCTCACATGTTGAACTCAAATACCTGTACTTTCTACTTCTTACATGTTGAACACAAATACCTGTACTTTCTACTTCTCACATGTTGAACACAAATACCTGTACTTTCTACTTCTTACATGTTGAACACAAATACCTGTACTTTCTACTTCTTACATGTTAAACTCAAATACCTGTACTTTCTACTTCTTACATGTTGAACACAAATACCTGTACTTTCTACTTCTACATGTTGAACACAAATACCTGTACTTTCTACTTCTTACATGTTAAACTCAAATACCTGTACTTTCTACTTCTTACATGTTGAACACAAATACCTGTACTTTCTACTTCTTACATGTTGAACACAAATACCTGTACTTTCTACTTCTTACATGTTGAACTCAAATACTTGTACTTTCTACTTCTTACATGTTAAACTCAAATACCTGTACTTTCTACTTCTTACATGTTGAACACAAATACCTGTACTTTCTACTTCTTACATGTTAAACTCAAATACCTGTACTTTCTACTTCTTACATGTTGAACACAAATACCTGTACTTTCTACTTCTTAAATGTTGAACACAAATACCTGTACTTTCTACTTCTTACATGTTGAACTCAAATACTTGTACTTTCTACTTCTTACATGTTGAACACAAATACCTGTACTTTCTACTTCTTACATGTTGAACTCAAATATCTGTACTTTCTACTTCTTACATGTTGAACTCAAATACCTGTACTTTCTACTTCTTACATGTTGAACACAAATACCTGTACTTTCTACTTCTTACATGTTGAACTCAAATACTTGTACTTTCTACTTCTTACATGTTGAACTCAAATACTTGTACTTTTCTACTTCTTACATGTTGAACACAAATACCTGTACTTTCTACTTCTTACATGTTGAACTCAAATACTTGTACTTTCTACTTCTTACATGTTGAACTCAAATACCTGTACTTTCTACTTCTTACATGTTGAACTCAAATACCTGTACTTTCTACTTCTTACATGTTGAACCCAAATACTTGTACTTTCTACTTCTTACATGTTGAACTCAAATACCTGTACTTTCTACTTCTTACATGTTGAACTCAAATACTTGTACTTTCTACTTCTTACATGTTGAACTCAAATACCTGTACTTTCTACTTCTTACATGTTGAACTCAAATACTTGTACTTTCTACTTCTTACATGTTGAACCCAAATACTTGTACTTTCTACTTCTTACATGTTGAACTCAAATACCTGTACTTTCTACTTCTTACATGTTGAACTCAAATACTTGTACTTTCTACTTCTTACATGTTGAACTCAAATACCTGTACTTTCTACTTCTTACATGTTGAACTCAAATACCTGTACTTTCTACTTCTTACATGTTGAACTCAAATACCTGTACTTTCTACTTCTTACATGTTGAACTCAAATACCTGTACTTTCTACTTCTTACATGTTGAACTCAAATACTTGTACTTTCTACTTCTTACATGTTTGAACTCAAATACCTGTACTTTCTACTTCTTACATGTTGAACTCCAAATACCTGTACTTTCTACTTCTTACATGTTGAACTCAAATACCTGTACTTTCTACTTCTTACATGTTGAACTCAAATACCTGTACTTTCTACTTCTCTCATGTTGAACTCAAATACTTGTACTTTCTACTTCTACATGTTGAACCCAAATACCTGTACTTTCTACATGTTGAACCCAAATACCTGTACTTTCTACTTTCTCACATGTTGAACACAAATACCTGTACTTTCTACTTCTTACATGTTGAACACAAATACCTGTACTTTCTACTTCTCACATGTTGAACACAAATACCTGTACTTTCTACTTCTCACATGTTGAACTCAAATACCTGTACTTTCTACTTCTTACATGTTGAACTCAATACCTGTACTTTCTACTTCTTACATGTGAACCCCAAATACCTGTACTTTCTACTTCTTACATGTTGAACTCAAATACCTGTACTTTCTACTTCTTACATGTTGAACCCAAATACCTGTACTTCTACTTCTTACATGTTGAACTCAAATACCTGTACTTTCTACTTCTTACATGTTGAACTCAAATACCTGTACTTTCTACTTCTTACATGTTGAACTCAAATACCTGTACTTTCTACTTCTTACATGTTGAACTCAAATACCTGTACTTTCTACTTCTTACATGTTGAACTCAAATACCTGTACTTTCTACTTCTTACATGTTGAACTCAAATACCTGTACTTTCTACTTCTCTCATGTTGAACTCAAATACTTGTACTTTCTACTTCTTACATGTTGAACCCAAATACCTGTACTTTCTACATGTTGAACCCAAATACCTGTACTTTCTACTTCTCACATGTTGAACACAAATACCTGTACTTTCTACTTCTCACATGTTGAACACAAATACCTGTACTTTCTACTTCTCACATGTTGAACTCAAATACCTGTACTTTCTACTTCTTACATGTTGAACACAAATACCTGTACTTTCTACTTCTCACATGTTGAACACAAATACCTGTACTTTCTACTTCTCACATGTTGAACTCAAATACCTGTACTTTCTACTTCTTACATGTTGAACTCAAATACCTGTACTTTCTACTTCTTACATGTTGAACCCAAATACCTGTACTTTCTACTTCTTACATGTTGAACTCAAATACCTGTACTTTCTACTTCTTACATGTTGAACACAAATACCTGTACTTTCTACTTCTCTCATGTTGAACACAAATACCTGTACTTTCTACTTCTTACATGTTGAACACAAATACCTGTACTTTCTACTTCTTACATGTTGAACACAAATACCTGTACTTTCTACTTCTCTCATGTTGAACACAAATACCTGTACTTTCTACTTCTTACATGTTGAACCTCAAATACCTGTACTTTCTACTTCTTACATGTTGAACACAAATACCTGTACTTTCTACTTCTCACATGTTGAACTCAAATACCTGTACTTTCTACTTCTTACATGTTGAACTCAAATACCTGTACTTTCTACTTCTCTCATTCTCCAAACAGCTGGTTCCTTTAGTCTGAATGTGTGTTTGATGCGTGATCATTATTCTTTAGAGTCATTGCGTGCCTATTGATTTGAACACGATCCGTGTATCCATCATTTCCTGGTCTTCTCTAAAGAAGAGGGACCAATGGAAACGTTGTCATGTTGCCGTTGTTCAGCATGGAAACATTCATTAGCTAACAATGACATTATTGTTCTATTAATATAAAGGGAGGTCAGGTACTCTTTAAAGCAGCTGCTAGTTATGGGTACTTTTTACTGAAGTACATTTCAAAGCCTCTTTACTTTCACTTGAGTAAAGAAGTTTAGTCAGTACTTCTACTTTTACCAGAGTATTTTTAAACACGAGTATCTGTACTTCTACTTGAGTAAAGGTTGTGTTACTTTTGCCTCTCTGGGTTTAGAAAATCCCCAAAAAGCGGATGTATGACACTTATAGCTTAGAATCGGAATCAGCTGTTCTCACCGTGTCGAACTTCACCCTGAACTCTCGTCCGCACTCCAGCGGCGTGGTGAAGGCGTCCAGGTCCTGTCCCCAGAAGGCGAAGAACTTCTCGATGCGGAGGCTTCGCAGCGCGTAGTACCCGGCGTTACGGATCCCGTACTTCTGACCCACGGACATCAGCTCGTTGTAGACGTGCAGAGCGTACTGTGGGGGGGAGACACATGTGAGACTGTCATTGTAGTTCCGTCTAATCCAAAAAAGTACTTATCCACAAGTAGCAACAAGCTTGACTCCAACAAAAACAAGTCTCAGGTAAGTTTGGTTGACTCTTTACTTAAACAAAAGGTATCAGTACCAACACACATTTTCAAAGGTCAAGAAATGATATTGCTCCGTGATTCTTTTCTCTTTCTAATTACCAGAAGCTGCGGCCGGCTATGAAGTCAATTTTACAACGGCTGGTTTAAATAAATGATATAATAATACTAATAACAAAGAATTACAATGTTCAAATATCTATACACATAATATATCAAATTATACATTTTAACATATGGCTCATACAGTCATTTAACTTAAACCACTATCAGAGAGGCGTGTGTGTGTGTGTGTGTGTGTGTGTGTGTGTGTGTGTGTGTGTGTGTGTGTGTGTGTGTGTGTGTGTGTGTGTGTGTGTGCAGGACACACCTCTATGGGGACGTACA